TTATTTGACATGAGGGTCATTGCGATGTATTAAAGATGATAACTGGTAGTAGATGGGTCCCCTATCTGAATATGAATTGGTTTCCTTATAAGCAAAAGAAGATTTGACATTAGATTTGCACAGAGGGAAGACAGATATGAAGAAGCACTAGAGTTGAGATCGCCCGTGAACTCCAGAGGCAGAGATAAGTGATGCATCTACAAACGGTAAGGAGGATGCCAAGGAGTGTCAAGCAAACACTAGACACTAGAAAGGAGTCAAGGAGGGCCACGGCCTTAATCCACGGCTTCTGGGAGGCTGAGCAGGTGAATCACTGAGGTCAGATAGGCCTGGCCGAAATGGTGTGTAAAAACTCCGGTGCCCTACTAAAGAATCGCAGAAAAGCTAGGCCGGGCATGATGCGTGCGTCTGCCTGTAATGCCCAGCTACTGGGGAGGCTGAGGCAGAAGAATCCACTTGAACCTGTGGAGGCAGAGGTTGGCAGTGAACCAAGATCACGCCACTGCACCTCCAGCCTGGGCGAACAGAGCAAGACTCTGTATCAAAAAAAAAAAAAAAAACGAGCACACACACACACACACACACAAACAAACAAAAACCAAAAGACTCAAGGAGGATTCTCCTCTACACGTTTCAGAGGAGCACAACCCTGCTGACATCTCGATTTAGGACTTCTGGCCTCCATAACTGTATCATAAGAGAAGATACATTTCTATCGTTTTAAACCACTCAGCTTTTGGTATTTCTTACAGCATTTCCTAGGAAGCTAATTTTAGGTTCCTAGGAACCCTAATATTCTTCAATAGGTGGATGGAAAACAAACTGTGGTACATGCATACAATGAACTGTATAACATGGGTGAATCTCAAAGACACTATGTTAAGTGAAAGAAGCCAGTCTCCAGAGGTTACATCCTGTATGATTCCATTTATGTGACATTCAGTTAAAGGCATATCTGGCCAGGCGTGGTGGGTCACCCCTGTAATCACAGCACTTTATGAGGCCGAGGCAGGCGAATCACGAGGTCAGGAGTTCGAGACCAGCCTGGCCAACATGGTGAAACCCTGTCTCTACTAAAAATATTGGTGTCCTTATAAGAAAAAGAAGATTTGGACATAGATTTGCACAGAGGGAAGACAGATATGAAGACACACTAAGGGAGATAGCCCTGTAACTCCAGAGGCAGAGATTAGAGTGATGCATCTACAAACTAAGGAATGCCAAGGAGTGTCAGCAAACACTAGACACTAGAAAGAGTCAAGGAGGGCCACGCCTGTAATCCCAGCATTTTGGGAGGCTGAGGCAGGTGAATCACCTGAGGTCAGGAGTTTGAGACTAGCCTGGCCAACATGGTAAAAACCCGTCTCTACTAAAAATACAAAAAGGGCATGATGTGCGTGCCTGTAATCCCAGCTACTGGGAGGCTGAGGCAGAAGGAATCCACTTGAACCTGGGTGGAGGCAGAGGTTGCAAGTGAACCAAGATCACGCCACTGCACCTCCAG